AAGAGGAATTTCTTCAAATTCAGAAATAAAATGAGAATTTATTCAAACCTGAGATGCTGAACAGAAGGAAATTACTTTATGGCAGGCCAGTAACTAAACTTCATAAATTCCACGATTCAGGCTGTCAACATTTCCAAGGAATGCCATTGGAATATCTGAAAGTCATTAGCCATGCTCAGCAAACACGACACTCACTGATTAGCAGGAAGCTGAAACACTCAGGCCAGTAAAATTCACTGTCATGCTATAGAAGACTCTTTTCAAAGCTGAAAACAGCGTGTGATATTTACAACAGCAACACTGAATCGAGGGGTTCTTCCTTTTGTTCCAAATTACATTCCAAATTACCACGATTATTATGTGCGGTGTTATAATAAACGCAATTATTCTGCCATTTCTATCAAAAATATTACATAGGAAACAAAAGGAACGCTAAGCTGAAGCTGTGATCCTGTATTACACCCTCACACTGCACAGCTGATGCCTCTGCCGCATCAGAAAGTTTCGGCACGTTGCCTTGAACTTGTGCACCACGGTTACAGCGACAGAAAAAATAGCACACGTAAAATCTGATAGGACTGCAGCCTATCCCTGTTGCCATTACTGTTGCTTCAAGAGCTCTAAATAGCTTTCAATTCCAGCTTTTGATTATTCTCCACAAATTGAATGCAGCACAGGACGTGAATGGCTGGTCTCAAACAAATCATCTGAACATACAGTTTGACAAGCACGTCATGTTTGTCTTACTTAAAGCCCTGAAACAACTACTAACATTCCCAGTATTTTTCAAGTATACGAATTTTAAAACCCAAACTACAAATGCTTTATCTTTGCCAATTCAGGCATGAGCTGCTTGTTTCTGCATGTGTGCTCATATATCTGTAAAGGAACATGGGGCTTTTGGCACTCTCAGGCATTTTATTTATACATTTTTCAGGCAGGGTTTAAGAGGCTGCTTCTCAAACTAGTCACCATTAGTGGGCCCCGTGTCCCCCATTGACTTCATTAGGAGCTGTGAGCACAGAGGATTTCTGAGGGTGCTAAAAATGTCAAATGGGGCATTGAGCAAAAAGGAAACCAGACCAGTAAAGAAAGCTCCCTGGAACAATCAGCTTTTGATATTAAAACCCTGGTGTACTGTGTGTAGTGTCTAACATGTTTACAGGTAAAACGTGTATGTTTTCTAAAGCATATACATTTCTTGTAGCCCAGTTTTCAGGAACAGCAAAAAACCTTGCTTTTCAATGCAAATCTAAAAAATCCTGGGAAAAGATTGTGTACTTCTGTTGACATATTCACAATATCCTTAAAGTATATATTATCAATTCAATAATATTCATACAATGAAGACCTTGGGAGCATCTGGTATTAAAATCTTTGCCAAAATCTGAAGGCAGCACCCTTGATTGCAAGAGCCCAGGGGCAGACAGTTGCAAATCAGAACCTTCCTACTCTTCCATGCATAGTTTAATTGTGGTCTTAAAATATTTGTGAAAGGGGGTCCTTTGTGCTTTGCCACAATCACACCAAAAAAACATTCGTTCTCTCTTTGAAGGATTCCAGGCACACCATGTGCACACTGTGGCTTTGGATAGCAGAAAGCAGCATTCAAGGGGATAAATCAACAGCTCAGGAGAAACAAAGAAAAGAGAAAGGAGAGTTTTCTAGATGAATGCTCCAACAGGGTCCTGCCTGCTGCAGTTACCCATCTCTATAGGTCAGGTTTTATGCTACTACCTGTCTCTTTTATGCTTGCCCTGTAAAATCAGTGTCAGTCACAAGGGATTCATGAAGTCTTTGACTCTTCTCCTTTTTAAAGGTCAGGGCTCCACTTTTTAATTGGAAAAGCAAAAGGTGAATGAGCCTGACCATGAACGGTGCAGTCCTTATCGTGTGCCTTAAGATGCTCAAAGGCTGCCACAATATGTCAGGGCTCTCTGGAGGTGTCCTAGGGGGAGGGTGTGGTGGTGATGGTGGCATTACAGATTTATGCAGTTTCTTGGGAAAAGGAAACATTGCTTGAGCCTAAACAATGCAATGGAATTGCAGGACTTGGCAATTACTGTACCTGGAGCTGGAAGTGCAGCCACCTATGCAAGTTCAAACTGATCATACAGGTGTCATCCAAATATATGCTTAATGACTTTTTTGATAAATGGATACATTTTTCTTTTCTCTTTATCAGAACTATGCCTTTTAATTCCCCCATGATAAAAAAAAATAAAACAAAACAAAAAAACTAACTAAAATGGGTTAGAACTGGGAAGCTGCAGGGGTTTAGGTTTGTTTTGTTTCACATCTCCACAGAAGTGGAGAGAGAGGGGAAAGAAGACAGACTGAACATGTTTTGATTTTGGAAAGCTGGGTTATTTTTCTCTTTTTGTTTTCTAGGGGCAATAGAAGTATCCCTGGCTGTATGACACAGATTCACTTCTGTTAGAAATTCCTGTTGCAAAGATGCAAAATGTTTTGTTTACCTCCAATACTTATTGCAATATATCTAATGAATGACCAGCTTTGTTTACGATGTTTCAAAGACCACTTCAGTACTTCTAGTAAATAAATTTTAGCCTGATCTTGTTATATTTGTGTATTCTTACAGTGATCTTCAGCACAGATTCTGAACCAAAATGTAAATTTCTGAATAACTTTGTTATTCCTAATAATTTTCATGATTATTTAGGAGAAAGTATAAAAAAGCAGAGAGGTACTTATTTTTCTTTGATTTTCTTTTTCTTAAACAGTGAATACAGCAACTGCACATTTCCTTCAGTTTTTTACCAAAGCTCCCATGCACATACATGCTTACCACCTGTTCCATCTCTGCCCATGATGTTCCCACTGGAATTCGGACAGGTTATGTCTATTAGCTTATTTTGCCAAAACCAGGCTTAGCATCCTCCACTGAACACATATTTCTCATGCCTTCCTTTTTTGCTTCTCTAATCTCTCCACTAAAGTCTCTGCTTTGGTAAACTTCACCTGTCAAAGCACTTTTCTAGTTTATAGCCCACATTTCTTCAAACTGTCATTGCTATCTTCAGTGTGAGATCCTTTCCTGGTATCTTTATAATAACTGTCTCCAAAGTTATTGTGTGATATGGTTTTTTACCATATCTGCTATTTCTTCCATAATGCTTTGAATTGAAATATTAACAAGCATTGGAACAAAGGCTTAGCTCTAGCATTTTTCAGCCATCTTTCTGTCTGCATAAGATCATAATCACTGTAATATTTTTCATTTAATTTTTTATCTGGATTTATCCAAGATGTTATTTCCTGTACAAAATAAATATTGAGGATCTATGTTCTGAAGTCTCTTTTCCTCCAAAGATTGCAGAGCTTCACAGTTAGAAAACCTTTAATTTATTCCTATTTTCATTTTCTATATTCTATTTCATTCATGAAATTTCTTTAGAAGGACATAAACTACCACTAAGATAGCAAAAAATCCCAACTTGATTGTGTGCAGATGAAAGACCTTGTTACATACCTATATCCTGATTTAGACTAATGGTGGACTAATTTTAGTGTTCTCTATTTTATTCAGCATTGTAACACTCTGTCTGACCCTTTCTCTAATGCCTTGGTGTTTCACCTGTACTGAATGACTTCTGAGTGTGAAGGTGATATATCACCATTTCCTGTGATGGCTATTTAAAAGAGATTCTGCTTTTATTACCTATTCCCACCATAGGAATCATAGCGCTCCTTACTTCTTGCTATATCTATTCCATTTTCATTTAACTCAAGATGCTTCTTATTTCCCATTTTTCATCTTGTTATTAAGGTATTTGTTAGCAGAAGCACCTATCTTGGTTCACCTTCTGGTTTCATGAGAGAATAAAAAACACATCTTCTGTCACAAAGACTTTCCCTGAGAAGAAGGCTGTGGATTTCTCGATTGCCTATGACCTCCTGGCATGTGTCCATTTACTGGTCTATAACAGGGGGATAATGATGCTCACCGAGGGCTTAACTACATATTGTTGGAAGTGTATTCAAGAGATTTGGGGAAAACCTGACTTAGGACTTTTCTTCTTCTTCTCTTTTTTTTTGCCAGGTACCTGAGTTCCCCCTGTTAGCTAATTTTGTACTGGACCTGAAAAAATTTTCTCTTGTGTTCCTTCTCCTGCTGAAATAAAGCATAAGGGTCTTGATAGACACATCTTTGTTCTTCCAATGCAATGGTACAGCACTATCAGGACTTCCAAGACTTTTGCCAACAGTAGGGTAACTAAATTTCCTCATTAAAATGAGGTCCTATGAATATAAAGTCCCCCAGCTCTCCTAGAGGAACCTGTCTATCCTCTCTCTGACAGACCATCCCACCGGATCTCTCCCTTTTCACCCCATTTCATGAAACATTACCACTTAGTTTGTTACCCATCAGTATTTCATGTGCATTACAGGTAGTTTCACCTGATGGTTCATGGGACACTTAGCCTGACTGAGAGCATCCTGAAGCAAAGGCTTGTTGTGGATGACAGCACTCCACGTTACCCTCCCTGATGACAGGGGACACTGGGGATGTTGCTGAGAACACCCAGGAGCACAGTGAAGAAGCAGAAGAATGCAGGCAGAAAGCAAGAGGGTTATCCAGCACAAAGAGGCAGTACACACCATCCTAAGCCAAGTTGCCTGGCACTTCTCCATGGCACCTCACTCATCCATCCTATGTGCTCCTGGTCTGCTTTCTCTTCTTCTGTTTTTGCCCATAGGAACCGTGGTCTCTGCAAGGCAAAACCTGCTCCTCTTCCCTCTGCAAAGGACCCCACATCCCTTACACACCCCTCTGCCTTAAGAAAGATGAAGGAGCCAAAAGCATCACACATGTAAGCAAAGGGTAATATTAGCACATGTTCTGTTGCGGGGACCCCCCGTATTGCGGAAGCGAAGGTTGGAAATCAGCTGCCACCTGAGCAGCCCTTCCCAGCACCCCGCTCCCAGCCCCAGTGCCCTGGCTGCCCACAGCCCAGGGCGGTGATGGCAGCACTCACAGCACACAGAGGCAGTAGGCTCCGGGGATGGTCTCGCTGTCCCGCAGCAGGTAGCTGCCGTCCACGCCCGCCTCCAGCAGCAGCTTCTCCCCAGCCTCCCGCGTGATGCGCCCGTGGTAGATGGGCAGCGTGTCCATGCCGGGGCCGTCTCCCACCGCAGGGAGCTCTCCCTGTGCACGGTGCTGCCTCCAACTGTGCCTCAGCCGTGCGCTCCCCTCAGCCTCTCTGTCTTGGTGGCAGATGTAAACAGGATGTGTTCACACCTCTGAAGCCTCTGCAAGGGGCGAGACAGCACTGAGGGAAGAGTGAGGAACGAACACAGCATTTTTGTGGGTTTTTTTTCCTTTGCCCCTTTCCGTTTTCCTTTTGCATAGGCTGTAGCATCCTCACAGCATCACAGCTCTCCCACAGAGGTGTCATTTCACAGCCACTCTCAGCCATGTGGCTCCACTCGGCAGGGATGGGACTGGTGAAGCACACGACGGCCACAGGGTCAAGGGTCGCCCTGGTTGGGGATGGCAGGGCAGGACCAGGGCACCACTGTCAGCAGCTGTACCAGGCACTTTTTTCCTCTGGCCAAGGGAATTATCTCAAGCAGGGATTATTTCTTAACCTCCTGTTTTTAAAATCCCCAGGGGTGAGACAGTAGAGGAAGCGAGCTGACCTTGCTGTCGCTGCCCCACCAGGCACCAAGAGCCTTCTTGCCCCACCAGGAGTCCCTCAGTGAGGGACTGAGAAAGCTGCAGAAACCTCAGCTGAAGAGGGACTGAAAACTCCCTTTTCTATTTCAATACACAGGTGTTCATTACCCTCTTTACATGAACTTTGGGGCTCTGCCATCCTGCTTCATTTTTTAAACCAGTTGTTAAAGTATTTGCACATAAAGTAGCTGCTGCCTACTGCAAACGTGATTAATGTGGATGGTGACGAGCTGTAAAGCTGGCCCCTATTTCTTCTCATTTTCCAAACTACCTGTACTCTTGGGGATTCATCTAACTTTCCCATTTCTTAACCTATTCTCAATAATAACAACTGATTTCAGAAAAAGTATGTGTGTAGTTAGCTGGAGAGGAAAACCAACCAGAATCATTCAGTTCTGCAGGTCTCATTGCCCACCTCATTAGATTTCAACTAAAGAAAATCATAAAACTTTTGACTGTGAGATGCTCTCCTAATCATGGAGTCACCACATTACCCAGCCAACCTGCATATCAGGCACTTGGATGAAGCAGCATCTCTTACTGTGAAAGAGCTGTTAATATCCAATTTTGCTAGTGTGGGTAAGAAATCCATAAAACTACAGCTACTGAACCCCAGCTCCAGGCTTCCATACAAATCCCTTTATGGCCACATTGACTAGGGGAAATGCAGCTTTTAAGAAGTAATGGAAATGCTGGATTTGGGAACAAGGGGCAGTAACTGAGGCACTAAGCAGGATAAACCAAACCAAAGGACATAGGTGCCTCCTGGGCAAGAAAGAAACCATAACATGCTAACACAGCTCTGTACCACACTAGCAAGGCTGGAGGAATCCACTCTTCTCCCAGACAAGCCATCTTCACTGCAGCTTGGCATCCAGTTGTTCTCACACTGACTGCCCAGGTTTCTATCCATTTAATCTTATGTATCTAAAGTATTGTTTGCCATCCTGTTTCATACTGCTGCATCTGCACAGTGGGGTCTAGAAGGCAAAATACAAAACAGAGCAGCAGGCTCAGAGCATAAGGGAAACAAGAGAGAATCGAGGCTCAAGGGGGTGCTGCTCCTGTTGGGACTTTGTCCCCATTGCCTTCCACAGAAAATGAGGATTTCTTTAAGCACCAAGCCCCATGGGACACTGGACACTTCCTTTGTTTTGTTTGGACAGAATTCAATATATTCTGGACAAAACAGTTCTGTGCCTTCCCTAAATCAGTACAGCTAGCAGTCCCTGCAGTATATTCTAAAAAATTTATCCAAAAAAAATACATGAAGGAAGGAAGCATTGAAAAGTGCTCTGAAATATTTGGTCATGAGAAACAGGCTTAGAAAGACAGACCTCTTTGGTCATCAAGTCTACTTCTCTGCTATCTTAGCCAAACACATATAATCCCTTTCAGAAACTTAAGTCCATCTTAAAAGTAGCTTGGGGTTTGTTGTTATTTCATTGTTTCCACTGTTCTCACTGGAAAGCAATTGCAGAACATTGCTATTCTGTTGTTTGAAAACCTGATTCCAATTTCCACCCTAAATTTATTCATGACCAATTTATGCTCATTTGTTCTTGTGCCAATGTTGTCCTTCAGTTTAAATAGATGTTTTTTCTTCCTAGAGCTTATTCCCATGCAGCATTTATAGCGGCCTCCCTCAGCATGCATTTTGCCAAACTCCTCTCACACTACCTTCCCATGGTCACTCTAATCATTATTTTCCATAGCTTCCCAAAAGTGAAGTGAATCATTTTGTGAATAGTGTGCACTGTTCTGTCTGATTTTTAACATGTGCCTCATGCATCATTACAGGAGTTTCATTATCCTGGTGAAAATACCTTGCTTTGTATGGTCTATATTTTCCCTTCCTTAGTCTTTTCTTACCTACGAACACACAGGTATAGTAGAAATGTGGTTAAGAAGACCCAGAAGAATGGACTTGCAGTCAAATCCTTCTGAATTTCATCCATTTTATCCTATTCTCAAGGTTACTCAAGTTCTTCCTAAATGAGAGTGTTATTCATCTCTGTAGTGACAGTGCCTCCCTCCCTTATGCCACTGGTAAATTCCATTAGCACACACTTATTTTTTTATGGGATCATCATTAATAAGAAATGTTAAATAATATCAGGCCCAAGACTGATGCTTGGGAAGCCCTACTGCCTTCCCTCAGTCCTGATCTCCACCTACTTCTTGCATTCTTATTCACTTTTCAATTTCTGTACTAATCTCCCCTTTTAGCTAATAATTTCCCACATGGCACTGTACCAAATGCTGTACTTAAGTTTAGATAATTATCTCTAAGCACTTCCTTTGTCTAGAAAAATCAATTATGATGATATTTCAGGCACCGGAACTTGTAGAAGTACCTGAGAAGTGGAGGAAGGGGAGACAAAGTGAAATTACTGTAAGTTTTTTGAACACCTGCAAAGATTTGGGCTTTCGTTTTCAGATGAGCTGCTTCATTCATCCCTAGCAATGACATTTTCATACATTGTTGAATTTTATAACAATTCTGAATATGATAACACTAATGCAAGAGCATCATTAAAATTCTTGGATACTGTTGTTTGACTCAAAATAAGAATGACCTTCAGGACCTTTGTGAAATTAATGCTACTGCAGAACTGTTACAGGAAGGCCTTGTATAAAGGGCTATAAAGCAAGATAAAGAGCAAAATACTTGCATTGGTAGTTTTGCTGATACAACAGTATCACCATAAATGCCATTTGTGTAGAACTACTGGAAAAGCAGCTTCAAAATCAAGAGCTTTTGCGAAGTTTTTGCAAAAATATTTAGCTGGTAAAATGCCACATTAAAACGCAGCTAAATCTAAATATGATTTTCATTATTTCGTGTCACTTTCATTTTTAGTGCAATCTAACAAAATATTCATAACTGTACAGAATAGTATCTGCAGAGAGAGATTTGCTATTCACATAAGAAAGTGGTTGAGATTCAGTAAAACATTGGTTATTTTAGAGTATCTGCAGAGTCACCATTATCGTGTTTCCTTTTTGAGCTGAAATGAAAGAGGTTAGGAAAAGCAGGCTACAATTAGCAAATGTGCAAGTAGCTGTAAGGTTCTGAGCATCAATGCAGAAGGAGAATCCAAATAAATTTTGGATTAAAGTTCACATATTAGCATATATTTGTACAGCCTTCATGTTAGCCATGAGCATACATTCTATGTATGTTGCTTGGGGGAAAAAAGCAGAAAAATGGAAGATAGTAATAATAAATGAAGTTGGGATGTAGGTGTGGATTCCATCTTTATCCTCCAGGACAAACACATTGTTCAGATTGAGAAAGGCCAACCAGTGTTTAGCCTGGAGAAAAGGAGGACCTTATTGCTCTCTACAACTACCTGAAAGGAGGCTGTAGGGAGGTGGCTGTCAGTCTCTTCTGTCAGGTAACAAGTGGCAGGACAAGAGGAATGGCCTCAGCTAGCACCAGGGGAGATTTAGATTAGATATTAGGAACAGTTTTTTCATGGAAAGGGTGACCAAGCATTGGAACACACTGCCCAGGGAAGTGGTGGAGTCACCATGGAAGTGTTCAAAAAAATGTGCAGACATGGTACACATATTTTAATGGTGAACGTGGTGGTGCTGGGCTGATGGTTGGACTTGATGATCTTAAAAATCTTTTCCAACCTTAACAATTCTAGGATTCTATAAAAACTGCTAAAATCTTTGGGTAGTTGTAAATCCAGGCTTTTGTCCCTTTCAAATTAAATGTATAGCCTAGGGAAAACCTCCTTACCTCAGAATATTCAGTCCTCAAGGTGCACATTAACTGCTTTGAAAATTTCTGTGCAGTGCTCAGAACTTGAAAAAAACAAACTTTCTCATCACCTGGGAACTGGGTGTTTGGTGTCATCAATCAGAATTGATTCTGGGGAAGAACAGAGAACACAAAAGGTTATGGACCTTTATGAATGGAACTCTCTGTACTCATCAACATTTGTCTTCTGAGCACAGGTAAATGCCCACATACCAGAAATGACGACATTTCACTGAACTTTAAAAATATTATTTCCTCTGTGCAATCTCACTGCTTACCTGTGCAGTTGTTTTGAATGCTTTGTGAGTGAGATAACACTAAAATTGAAAGCTACGCATTATGGTGAAATTCATATTAAAAGTTATCTGTGTTTTATTGCGGTTTCTTTTGCCCGTTAATAGTTCATACTTCTTCCTTCTCCAGAAGCAGCGCAACACCGGGTTATTTTGCAGATGCATGTGCATTGACAAGCAGAGACGCTCTTTGTGATAATATCAGCATAAGCAAAACTACTCATAGAAGCAGGAACATTTTTATTTTTTGCTATTACTCTTTCAACAACCCTTTCCCGTAAAATTCGGCAATGGGCGGGTAGTCATCAGCATTAGGCACCCAGATGCTTTGAAGCCCAGGACCCACATCTTTGTGATTTAACTGAATCAACTTCAAAGTCAACAGGTCTAAATCTCATCAGGATACTCTCAGGGTGGAGCAAATGTCCACGTTGGAGCTCTTCCTGGATCCGT